CATTGTATGATTACTGGAAGAATAAAATGAATGAAAGAATTAAAATTGCTCAATGCGAATAAATTAGACACAGTAACTATAATACGACTCTAAGCTGAAGAGTGCACGTTCGTAAAATACAATAAGCAACAAATTCCAATCAAATTACTCTTTGAATTGTGAGCATCCAATGAAATAATTTCATTTTTTTTCTGGATACTTTCAAACATTTAAGATATTCGCTGTGAAAGAATCATGAATCGATTTTGAGACAGGTCACTTCGAGACGGATTGATTCAATTACTCATGTTCTTGTTATTGATAACCTCTGAAAGACGATATTCATTGAGTGAAATAATTGCACCTTCATTCTAATTAACAACAAATTATAGCGTTACACTAATAAGCACGACCGATAATACGTACAGTGGATCATTGATAGTTACTTAAATAGAATCTTCTTGATCAGTGAGAATAAGTCAGTTCTAATGGGAGAGAAACACTTCTGAATGAGTGACTAAAAAGAAACGGGCATTTGATGGTTCAGAAGGAAACTGAAGTGAAGCTCAAAATCTGTAAGAATACAGGAATCAACTTCAAAAGATAACTATTTTCGGCTATTTCACACCTCAATCGCTGTTTTCAGGTCGGTAAAACTCTGCGAGCGAACAGCTTTTCGCAGACGACCATTCTCTTCATCGCTTTCCGTTTCGTCGAAATTACTGAAAGGTACCCAAAAAATCATTAAAACATTAGAAGAATCTTCCGGAAAACTCAATTTCTTGGTTATTCCTTCTATAGGCCGGATACATTTCCATTCAACGAGTAATCCGTTTCATTGGGGAAACATCTGTTGAGCTGAATGTTAATTTCCACCGTTCCGTTGACCCGAGAAATATTGAATGTTCTTTAAGAGGTCGAAAAAGGACTGGTATATCTCATTCCGTGGCATATCTATTGGCATATTATCAGTATAACATATCTCATATCTCATTGGCGATGTTCCTAAGAGCTTTTAATACAATCGAAGAATTTAATGCAATCGAAAAATGTTCATTGCACACTCCCTTTGTAATAATTAATAAGCAAAGAGATTCGTGAGTTTAATGAATGAATACGGTCCGAATTGTTGAAGTGAGCAACATTCAGGAGAAAGGAACCTACCTGTCATTTGCTGGATGTTCTCGTTCAGCTGATAACATCTCTTTTTTCAGCTCTTCCAAGGTTCTATCCGACACGAGCCCTCAAATATAAACACACGTTCACCTCTGAATTCATCTCATGTGAAAAACGTTCTGATTTATGTTTTACGTTTAGGAGAGAACAGAAGTCGGGGGATCGTTTTTTTCGGAGATGGAAAACACTATTTTTTGAGAGGTTATTATAACAAGTTAAAGCTATCCACTGAAACTGTTCATTTCATGAGCTATCTGGCTGACAATCATAAATTTCTATGCGGCACAACAGTTGCATAGATGCATGAACGGGTTCAACGTGCTGATGGATTTTGCCAACTCTGGCATTCAGTAGTGGCGGCATTTGAGCGAAATTTCGTGTCAGCCGAAGTCCGGAATCCGGAATCATTCCGACAGTCGGAATTCCGACCGAAATTGCCTGATTTTTCCGACTGGTCGTCGATCGGATGCTATCACTAATGTGAGCTAATGTAAACGGGATGTTTGATAGGGTTTTATTGGGTGGAACACGTTCATCGATTCGAAACTGTCGTCAAGATCGCGAGAACTGATTTTGAAAGCACCTTCCATGGAATTGCGCCTACCATTACCAATGAAAAACCGTAATATGGTGGAGAATACCTTCGGCTGATTTTGGTATGATGATTCTGTTATCGTTGCGTGCCAGCGGTACAGATTTAGTAAGATGCGGAAGCTTATATGAACATTCTTTTTCATCAACTTGATCAAGCAATTTCTCGTTTCTCTCCTCTCTGAAATTTTGTAACAATTGAGAGCATTAAATGTTTGGATATGTGAATGTCTATGCTGAGGTCATCAATGCGCTCAAGTTCTGTCAGTAAGTTTACGATAGCTTAGGTTGGCTGAATAAGAATAAGCTAGATGTACTTCTCGCGATATTTGCAGTGGACTCTTTTCACCTCGAAACTTAATCATCAATTTATTCACAGATTATCAACCACTACGTGTAAATGAAGAGTGATTTGATTGTATCCATTTGATTTCCAGCAGAGCAATAGTCGTGCACCTTCAGCAATTGCTTACACTATTTCTCAACTACCAGTACACTAATCATTTCTCAGCGATTTATTCATATTTTATACTTCTCAGATACAACGGATCTTTATGGTTGAGGTGAAGAATGTAGATGCTTCTAATATTGTTATTTCGAGATTATAGTTCAAGTAACTACCAAAAAAAATCAGAAATCTGATACCTTTCGATGCTTGTTAGATAGAGTGACTGACAAAATTGCATAGATTCTCAAGTCACAAGATTGCTCAAAAATGTGTATGTCCAACCTGAGTGTGTCGGAATTTTGAGGCATTCCATCGAGTCGCTTCTTCAACAAACCGAGTTCTGCTTTTAAATCATTCAGCCATTTGTCTGGAGCATCTGAGAACATGCACTGCTCAGTGCTGTTCGGATTTAATTATGATATGGTTGAAAGAAGACTGCATATACGCTAAATCAGATCAGTGGTTCTCACGTTCGGACGCTTCATTACATCTTTTGATGATCTGGCAGGCCGCCGTTACCCCCTCTACCCTATTAAATATGGAAATCGCACATATTATGTTCAGATGACCGTTACGTTCAATCTTATTAGTGATGGTAATCGTCATCACTGGGCATTCTCTTTAGACCGTCGTGTTCCTCAGTATTCATGCAATCGATTATGATTGCATGAAAAGCTATTGTCTGTCACATGCTCAATTCAAACTGATTTAGATGAATTCTCATTCTTTTCAGACGTGTTGTATTCACTCTCATTGCTATTACATGCAAATATCGTTCTCTTGATGAGTTTTTCTCATTCACTTCGTCTCATTTCACTTTACAATTCGAATCAATTTCTCATTCTGTAGCATATACTATTTACTGGATGCGTTGACGAGTGTTGACAACCGAAATCAGCAATACAGCAATCGAATATTGTTGCTCAGCAACGTTCGACTGTCAAACAATCAATTATAAAGTGTACTCTATAGAATGAGAATTTGATTTTAACTGTTGAATGAAATGAACGAGAAATTATCAAAAGAAAACATTTTTGGTGACAAAAGCTATGAGAGTGATTATAGCAGCAAGGAAAAGAATGAAAAGCCACTTAAAACGAATGAAAACAATGACTTTTTAACATAACATAAGAATTGCACAAAATCCTAATTTCCCGACTCCATCCATTACCCTTTGACATCTCCAAACTGCCCAAAATGGGTAATTCACCCCCTATGAGAACCACTACGCTAGATACACGCTCATCGTAGTGCTTTGAAACCGGAAAGTTTCAAACTCTAATTTAATCATTAGACAGGATGTCACAAAACCTTCCAATCGAAAATGCCCTGTTCATGAGCTCATCATCATCCACAGCTTCTGTGGAGATTCGAAGCATCATGTAGCCATAAATCAACACCAAATAAGATGAAAACGGATGGAACCGAAGTCAAAAAATCTTTTAATAATCAACCAGAAGCAAGAAAATTCATTCAATAGCAGTTACCGACGGCAGTGTCTGCAGTATCTGCAGATGCGGTTGAACAAGAACTACTTGTAGTGGTAGTTATTGGTGAAACGGAAGTAGATCTGTTGGAAATCGCTGAAACTTTGAGTGATTATTTGAGTCGTTTCATTTAATTAGATCAAACTTTAATCAAGATCTTGAAGCAGATAAAGAATTTGAATTAACAATCCTTCCTCAATGAACAATCGCCGCAAAATTATCTTTTATGAAGTGAATCTGTACACAATATGGTTAAATAACACACAATTCGAGGTGAAAAAGATGGATTCAGCACGACGGAAAGGTAACTGAAGTTAAGGGAGAGATCAATAACCAGTTATGAGCGTGCGATAGTCTTCTCGACCTTCTGCAGCTTCTTCGAGCGCTTGAAGACGCCTCACTCTAATCAAAGCATTTCTTAATTTTTTTATGTTTTCATCTAAAATGATCAAGTTGATGAGTAGTGCAATCAGTGATATTGATTCATTCAAAACGCACTAAATGATTAATTTGACTTGATTATTTGAAACAAAAAAAAGTCTGCAGAAAAATGAATCGAAGACAGATTCTCAATCAAAACAGACTAAGGATAATTAATAACTGATGGCATATTATGTAATGAGTAGGGACTTGTTGCCAGGTGACATAAAACCTGAACGATTTCATCGAAAAGGATCGATACCTTGATTGATATCTTTGCTGTTATTTAGCTGTTCCTTACTGCTAACTTCGCTACCAAACGCTGGAGATTGTGCAGGTGTAACGGGATTATCGGCTGAAGTGGTTCTCTGCAAATGACTTGATCATTGACGAATTATGCTAACTTCCAGGGATAAAGCTGTATTTGTGAAGGTGTCATCTCACCAGCAGAATATGCAGATCACAACTTTTGGGACACTTCTCGCTGCTATCTGATCAAGAAGATCGCAGCACCTCAATTCTCTTATGGTCATACTAAATTTTGCAGTAAAGTCGGTTTCGAGTATGGTCATCCGTGTAAAAGCGATGTACTTCACCCTTTTTCTCACTTAACCCGATAGTCCTAGGAAAGCTAAGTTTTCGAAGTGTTTACCAGTGTAGCCTTCAGCACTTCGTTTCTTCCGACAAGTTTCTCAATCTGTGCTAAATGAAATCTAATATCGCTCAAGGCTCTCGTAGTTTTTGCTGTTGTTGATTCTTCACTTGATGTCGTCCTGCTGTTGCTCGGTGTGTCGTTCGTTCGTGAATGTCGCTGAAAACTCTCATGAACCTCAGAAAAACATCAATTTGCGTCTAACTGATTCCAAATATATGCTTCAAATAACCCATAGATAAATTTAAGCCTTTTATTGCAGTAAAACTCCATCATAACGGAAAAATCCAACAATCTCGGTCGGATTCCGAACGAGCAGTTTGGAAGTTCGGTCCCTAAGAATATCATGTTTCCGAGTTGCTAGTGTCTTATTCATGGATTATCAGTGGACTCATCTTCGAAAAATATATGACCATAATAAAATTTTATTCGACAAACATTATATTATCGAAAACAGACCACTGCATCAGAGACGTCGCTCTGTGCCCTTGATGAATAATTGTCTTGTTTTTCCTGCGGCAAGAAATACAACATTCCATTTACAATTGTTGGCACATAGATTCCTCAAATTTGAGAGATCGTTTCAAGCTAAACATAAGCAGTAAACATAAACAGTGTTTGCAAATATTTTTGAAATTTTGAGTATTTCACTGGATTTTTGTCAAACCTTTCGCATAGCACAACACTGCTTCATGATTTTATTGCTGTCTAGTTCAACTTTCTGTATAACGGTGTGCTTTTTGAATGCAGTGGAAACAGGCTTATTATTAGTGAATCTATTTCCGCCTAGTAACGTTCATGTTATTCATGCAAATCATTTTTGATTCATTTGATTACTTGATATCATAGTAGATCAAAACTATTTGATCACTAATTTGATCATTAATCGACGATTCCGTAATGCGTATTTGATACATGAACCCATTCAAGAAGGCTGAGTCAACCTGAAAGCTTCCGGACTACTTCAAGCAGTTCTTCAGCTCGCATCGGTTTCGCTTTTGTGATACTAGTGCGTTCAGTTGACTGCTTAGCATTCATCTCGTTTGGTTTCTTAAAATCACTCATTACTCAGTCAGTCAACTGCCATCCGGTGTAGGACACGACACGTTTACTGCAAATTTGAACATCAACGGGGATGAAAGGTTGTGTTGAGAAATAAAACTGACGCTTTTGCACATCTCTGCAGTGAAGTGAAATGGGTTTCAGATGAGTCAGAAATAATCTTGGCTAATAAATTCGCCTACATCACCACTAGGGTTTACTGCAATTAATTTGTAACAAATCGTTACCTTTTCCTTTGCACATGAGTCTATTCTTGATTGATTAGGATTCCTTTCACTTTTATCTAAACATACGAATTCTCAATTTGCTTTGAAAGGTTTAATAGAAACTTCTTCATCGGTTCAATGAAATGTTGGCAACAAGACTTCTTTTCGGTTGTGGCATGTAACAATTCTTGGCAAAACTGATGCTTTCAAGCCTCCTACATATTCGATTGAGTTCCAAAGCATCACAACTTTGAACTCGAGGACGCGGTCAATGAAATTTGAAGCCGTGGCTATCGAAAGATGGAAATTTCACGGGAACTCACATGTTGAGCAACGTTGCAGAATATAGTCACGTTGAAACGGTCCAATGCATGGTTTTGGCTCCATCAAAATCCTCGCAGTTGTTTACACTCCTCACCAAAATACCACTACTCCGCCACCCCAAAAGAAATTATTGCTGAACAATGACGATCAAGGATAATACCAACGACCTTTTCGACGTTTTGACGTGTTAAAATTTTTACCAAGTCACTTTGCTTGTCGCATAAACGCAAATTTCATACGAATATGCAAATAAGTTCACGATTCAGACCAGTGCTCGCGTCAATCATTATAAGAGGTTGCATTAACTCTTTAATCCTCATCCATTACCGCTTACCATTCGGAATGTTTCGTCAGTATTTCCGAATGAGACTACATGCATATGTGTATCAATTCGTGTTAGTGTTTGTGGACTTTAGGAGACCGAATAGTTGAAAGGAATACGTTCAGAGTGTTGGTTTGCATTACGATTTCCTTGCTTCAACTCCTATACACTGACCCAGTTCTGTCTTATAAAGAATACTCTTTTTTTCGCTCTGAAATACTAATTTGGACGAATGAGGCCGAAATATACCCGTGTACATTAGTAGTACCTACAGGAGATTCATTGACTGCTCAGAACATACATTTCGAGTATTTCAATTGCTTTTATTAACATCAGTGAACTTATCAGTACGCGATAATGTGTTCCTTATCCTTATACTACTCACATAAACAAGGTTTTCTCATTGGCATGACTAACGAATGCAGAATGTGAACGGAATAGCAAAAAGTTACGATTGGAGTTTGAAGCCACAAGGCGCATGTGCGATTACATAGGCGAGAGAGCGTTAGAGCAAAGAGAGCAGAAGTCAGGTGGACATAAAAAGACTCAATACTTTAGCAATATCTCATGTCTGTGCGAGTAATTTTTATTGGAGAGATTGCACTTTTTACAAAAATCTCTAAATTTTCGGATTTTTCGAGCTATACTGAATTATTCAATCTTGAAATGTTCCTTTTTTATGACTGCTGCTGTTAGGGCTTGTTATTATAGGGGATTCGGATATTGCATCATCAAAAAGTGTAGGTACTGTTACAATTTCCAATTTCATCTTTCAATCGCACTCGAATATTGCAATAGAAAGTTTGTACGGTGAGATGATTTAAATCCATTCGTTATCAATCGTTGTTGATGTTTTTTGTAGCCTTATGAAAGCGTTTTTACGTGATTGTTTATCTTTAATTCATATTTTCATTCGCATGTGTATATTCTAGGCAGCTGAACGCTTTGGATCACCATATTAGGTGGCGAGAGCTTACCAGTTCGGGAACCGGTGGTTCCAATCTCTTCAGCTCATCCTCAAAGGCTAGTCGATTCGTTAACTTTTTGTTTTGGATTCCATATATTCTTTTGCTGGCCCTTATTGTCACACGCAAAAGCTTGGGCAAAACGGCCACTGAGGGGTTTTACCCTGTTGTCATTCGTTTCTTAGCTATGTTAAAAGCGCATGTGTGGTGTTTTCCAGTACCCATGTTGGTGTGGGAATGCATGGCGGCCTGCGTGCAGAATTTTAACCTCCAATAATGCTGAATTAACAGAGCTTCGTTTCCATTCAATACCAAATATATGAATTCATTATTTGTGATCATGATAACAAATTTCATCCAATCGATTGTGTTGGCATCGATCAGGAGTGCACAATGGACGTTATCAACATGAAGACTGGTGGTGGATCAAGGCACCAATCACTCCGTCAAAAAGTACTTATTACCTAATGTTTTAGCATTCTCTATTTGATTTTTGTTTTCAGTTTTTCTCAAATTTTGAATATATTAGTTTTCCTTTTTTTCCAAAAAGACTTGCATCTATCTGTTTTGCGTTTGTGAGGGTGAAGCATTGTTCTTTTGGAAGAAAATTGTGCAATTCTAAACATAGGAAAGGGAAAAATCGGCAATTCTTTTCGGAATCCGCTTTCACTTAGTTGTATCTGCAAATTTAAGGTGCAATCTAGTGCAGTGGTAATGCTGTACATTTCAGTAATCAGACGAAGATTCGAACTCCAGTTTCCATTCAGGTTCAGGATGATTTTAAAACGCTTTTGACTTCAGATTACCGGTTTTTTCTTTTTCATATATATATATTTTCATACTTTGGTGTTCATTCTGTGTTAAATGTACTTTCAGTTAAAAATTGTTTAATTCAAGTAGAAAGGGTAGAGAAAGGAAGGCAGTTTTTTAAAACCTATTTTTATCTAGTTCAAAGAAAGTAGTGATGGTAGCTACATCGTAGCGTAGTGGTAGAGCTCTCCATTTTCGTAAGGTAAAACAAGGTTCGAGTTATGGTTTTGAAATTTTTGTCCTGAATTCTATTTGACTGCTAGCCTTGAGATTTTGAAGGCTTATGGTGCTTGATGAGAAACTAATCTGCCATTCTCAATATTTTTGAAATTGGAAAGAGAGAGGGAGGAGGGGAAAAATGGCAATTTTTTCGAAATCCATTTTTGTCTATTTCATAGCACGTAGTAGTGACAGATGCGTCGTAGCATAGTGGTAAAGGCCTGCGTTTTCGCACAGCAGGGCAAGGTTCAAACCCCACTTTTGAAATTTTGTTTCCCACAGTTTACATAACTTTAAAGTACATTTAACACAAAATGAACGTCGGATTAAGAAAAAAATTGATATGAAAAAGAAAATGGGTAATGTGAAGAAAAAAGGGTCGTACAGTTGAAACTGTAGGTAATTTTTTAGGGGTATTCGAAATCTGTTACGAGTAACGCGATGAAAATGGACGACCAATAACGCACATAACGAATACGACGCGGTGCAGATGAAGAGGAATACCGGAAGAATATTGCAAGGAGCAGACGAGAAGAATTTTGTGAGATTGTGATGACTGATAATGTGATGATACATTTATTGCTGTAATTATCATAAAACCCTCATTAACCTCTGCGAGGAATGAGGGACGTATAAAG